GGATGAGAAGGAGAGGAGAAGGATGAAGATAAGTAGGAGGAGGAGGAGGAGGAGGAGGAGGAGGAGGAGCAGGAGGAGGAGGAGGAGGAGGAAGGGGAAGGGGCGGAGGAGGAAGCCTCTCGTTGGCATCTTGTGTTGCTCTTGGGGCCAACACAGGGTCGTCGTCAAGATGCTTCTTTGGGGGTGGCCTCTTGGGGTCTTTTGAGAAGCCGTTCGGGGGCGCCTGGGAGGCATTTTTGAACTTCTGGGGCCTCTTTTGGGCCTCCTGGGGGCCTCCTGGGGCCTCTTGGGGGCCTGTTGGCGGCATCTTGGGGCCTCTAGGGGGCCTCTCGGGGCCTCCTGGGGCCCTCTTGGGGCGGAAGGCTCGAGTTTTCGGTTCGTAGTCCACCTCTTGGGCCTCTCTTGGGGCCGTCTTGGGGCCGTCTTTGGCCGTCTTGGGCGCCTCTTGGGCCGTCTCAGGGCCCTCTTGGGCCGTCTCAGGGCCCTCTTGGAAGCCTCTTGGCCCGTCTTGGGGCGCTCTTGGGGGCCTCTTGGGCCGTCTTGGAGCATCGGATGGCCGAAAAGGCGACAAGGCCAACATCCTTCCAAAACCATCGTAAAATTTATGATTTTGGCCTCTCGGGCCCTCTTGTGAGGCCTCTTGGAGACCACTTGGAGGCCTCTTGGGCCGTCTTTGGGTCATCATCGGCGTCTTGGAGCGTTCTTTGGGCGTCTCGGGGGCCTCTTGGGCAATCTTGGGGACCTCTTGGGTCAGAAGGGGGGGTAGTCGATTGCGCCCCTCCCCTCGGAGGCCACGATCCTCGTGAGCGGTGTCGAAAAATTGCCCGGTCTGGGATCTCTGATCCGAGTGTCCCTGGGGGGTCCCGGGGGGGTCCCAGAAGTGTCCCAGAAGTGTCCCAGGGTGCTTTTCGTCCGGGAGACCCCAGGGGCGGCCCCGCGCGCGCGAACTAGAATATTGTTAACCAGTTACCGGAGATCTTAGCACGCCCTTGGCCCGTTGGGCTGGCGAAATGATCGTTCTTGGAGCAAAAGGGGCTTCGTTCCTTATTCATCGTTCCTTAAGTCAGGCTGGTGACTGTATGCCTCGCAGATGGCCCCTCGAATCCAGGTGACATTGTCGCCTGGGCCGAGGGTGACCTGAACTGCGTCTTGGAGGCATCAGTGTACCTCGGCGCGGCCCAGCTGGTACAACATGGTCCCGTTGATGTCTTCTGGCGTGGGCGTTGTAGCCTTAGCCCCGGTTTTTCGGAAAACAGGTTTGAGGGATTTCTCCCTGCGTAGTCGGTGCTGATCGCTCCCAGAAATACTAGTTCCAGGTCGTTGTCCTGCCTTCGGATCTGTTGCAAGAGTCAGTAACCTTGCTTTCGCGTGTGGGGCGACATGCTGCTGACGTATGATATCCCGTCCTCCGCCCTGTTCGGCGCAAGTGCGACGAGGACATCCCAGTTTAGGGGATCGATGTTAATGAGTGGGGCAGTGCCGTTGCCTTGGTGGGCGTCGGCGGAAGCCGTGGACCCTGGCGAGTCGCTGTCGGAGCCTGTCTTGTGCGTGAGGGGGTAGCGCAGCATGGTATAGCTGATTATGCGTTTCCCGCATATGTTCATCGACTCGTTATTTTTCCTGCGCTGGTCGGAGTGGCGTTGCCGGTAACTGTTGTCAACCTCGTTTGGAAGTTTAACAGCGCATTGCAGACAGCGGTTGTTGACGCATGCTTCTTTGCGACTGAGGTTGGTCCTCAGTCGGTCCTTCAAGGCAACCGTTGGGCGAAGTTTGCCTGGTGTCTTGGGCTGCGGCGGTGCGGAGGGCGCATGGCGAAGACCTTTCGAAGCCATGGCGTGCGGGCGGAAAGAAAGAGATGTGACACGCATCGGTCTTGTATGGCTGATACGGATACAGTCTCACCCGGCTGGGGTGCGCGGAGTGTTAGGTGTCGCGGCTTCGCCCTGAACGTAAGCGTGCTCTCGAGCCGAGACTGGAGAGGGAGGGGGGGCACAGGGAGAGCACAGGGAGGGAGGGGGAAGGGAAGGACGGGGAGGGGGAGGGAGGAGGAGGGAGGGAGCGGAGGAAGGGAGGAGGAGGGGATGAAGGGAGGGAGCGGGAGGAAGGAAAAAGGAGGAAAGGAGGAGGAGGGGAAAAGAAGGAAGGGGAGAGCACAGGGAGGAGGGAGGGAGGGAGGGAGGAGGAAAGGAGAGCGGCGGAAGGAGTGGGAGGGCGGCCAATTCCCTCCCAACCCCCCCGCGGGAGCCGGGCGCTTCGAGGCTTGACGCCCGCCGCGCAGCCCGTGGCGCCGCGCCCTTCGCCGGAGCTCAGGCCTGCGAGGGATGGGTTCGGTAGCAAATCATGGGAGCCTGGTGAACCCTCTTAATTCCGCCTTCAGCGTCGACTAGCGTCTGGGAGTCGATGAAATCGCGCCGATTTAGCGTCGGCTAGCGTCGATTAGCGTCGAATTAGCGTCGATGAGCGTCGATTTAGCATAAATCAGCGTCGATTCGCACAGGCGGACAAGATGGTATGAGAGGCTCCCATGAGTTGCTACCGAAGAGGGGTCGCGGCGACCGCCATTCTTTCCGTGGCGGTCACCTGGGCTGGGGGGCCCCAAACGGTGCGGTGACCTCACCGTTTGGTGAGGTAGTGGGAACGTTTCTGCCGAGGCTCCAGCACTGGAGGCAGAAGAACTTGTAGTGGTACGGTTTTCCAGTGCTGGCCGTGCTGCCTACTTTCCGGCCACTTTGGACCTTGGAGGAGCCTTTCGCTCCTCCCTTCATGCCCTGAGTGTTTTTTGCTGCGCTACGCCCTCATGTCTGGACGTCTGGACGAGCTCTTTGAGTTTGGGGTGCGTGCAATCCCTGCCATGTACCGCATCGTGTAAGTGTTGCGGCAAGCTCCCCGTCGTGGTCACCGCGCGGCTTCCGGACTCGGGCCGGTCTCCGAGGATGACCTGGGCGACGGGCCTCCGGAAAGGTCCCCAAGCCGCGCTGCGACGGGTCGTGCGGTGGGGCCTCTTGGGAGTCCGAGGCCGCCCCTCGGTCTGTCCGCACCACTTTGGGACATCACCCCTCCGCGGGGGCCGCCTGGGCGCAGGGGGTCCTCACAGGGAGCTGCGGTTCCCTGCGTTGCCCTTCTCGGGAGTTTTCGTCGACTTCTGGGGGTCGCTTCGCCCAGGGATGTTTCCGGCAGCTGCGCCTCGCTGAGAGCGGTCCTTTGGGGTCCCGAGATGTCGCCAGACGCCCGAGTTCTGACCCGAAAGCCGAGCAGCCCATGTAATAACATCCGCCGACATGTCTCTTTCCGCGGCCCCAGAGGTCGCGACCAGCTTCCCCGGGGGCCGACATCGAATCCGTGAAGCTCGTTCAATTTGTTGAAACGCATGTGCGCGGCGCTAACGCGAGAGCCACATTTTCAAAACCACCCGCTCTCAATCCGTGAAGCTCTTGCAAGTTGTTGAAACGAATGTGCGCGGCGCGAAGGCGAGAGCCACATTTCGAAAACCACCCGCCCTCAATCCGTGAAGCTGTTGTCACTTTTTGAGCTTGAGCTTCAGAGTCATACATTGTGAGGAAGTCTGTGGCGAAACGCCCGGCCCGCCCTAAAAACTGGCCTCGGGGTGCGACAGGGAGGAGTTATCCATAAGGAGAAGGAATGGAGGAAGAGGAGGAGGAGGAGGGAGGAGGAGAGAGAGAGAGGAGGGTAGGGTAGGGAGGAGGAGGAGGAGGAGGAGCAGGACGAGGAGGAGGAGGAGGAGGAGGAGTAGGAGGAGGGTTCTATGATAACATCCGTTAAACCACTCACGCCCTGAAGGGCTAGTGGGATTCCAGGGTCGCCGTGACCCGAGCCTGCCGTTGCCTTGCGGGTCCAATCGATATTGGGGTGTCGGACACCTTGCTTGAGTTCGCTTGGCTGCGGACAGCCTTCGGCTTCTGAGCCCCAGCTTGCATTCCAGAAGTCTGGGTAGGGTTTACAGGTGATTCCCGATCGGGGCTCGCAGAGGAGGAGTATTCAAAGGGTTGATCAGCACGCAGATAGCAAGGGCGAACGATAGAGAGATGGTTACATCGAGGGATGTAGAGATCGATCGATGTTTTTGTCGTTTGGTCGAATGATCAATCACTCGTGTGGACCGAAATGTGGGGAGATCAAGATCGATGCATTGATAGATCGGCAATCCAATCCCACGCCAATCGCAAATCGAGCGCTGCACCCGTCCCTCCCTCCCCGACCTCGTTATCGCCCGAGGGCTGGTTCTGTAGGTGGTGTCCGCCATACGCGTGGGTGCGAAACCATTCTGTGTGTGTATCAACGTGTTCAAGTTTAAGTTTCAAACAGAATATGTGGCGTTTGTGTTTATGCGTGCACTGCGGGTCACGGAGGACCAAGTGAACATTTGTACATCATGAGTTTATTTCTTTACGTAGTCATAGTCGGCGATACGCAGAAGCAGCACCGGCATCACATGGATTATCCGTATTGGTCATCAGATCGGGTGCGAATCTTCTTGGACCAAGTTTATGTGGTTTTGGTTGAGGTTGTTCTCACAGCACCTTATACCTGAACTTTTATCAGAACAATGGGCAGGGCTCTATCGTGATTGGTGCCCTTGCGTGGCTTGCATGGTGCAGTGCCCTCACTATGGTTGGGTCGTTCTCACTGTTGTAGTACTTCTGTTTGCAGCTTCAGCGCCTGGCCATTCATTTGGATTCAATGTTTTCGTTGATGACTTCTTAGAGGAATTGGAAATCAAGCGTGGAGTTCTGGGAACTCTCTTCTCCATGGCGACGTTCTTCTCCAGCTTGCTCATTACACCTGTAGGGTATTGTATTGACAAGTACGGGGTCCGCAGCGTGCTGTGCTTGGCAGCGGCACCACAAATTGGCGTATTGCTTTGGCTATCTAGCCTGTCGAGCACAGCAGAGCTTGCAGTAGCTCTGGCGCTTAATCGTTTTCTGAATGCCGACGTGCTGCCTTTGCTTGCGACGACATGTTGTAACCTCTGGTTCGTGAAGATGCGTGGCAGGGCCTCGAGTATTGTATCTGTAGCGAGCGGTCTGCTCATGATTTTTCCAGCTGCAGCAGGTAATTTGAAGCAGCACTGTGGTGGGCGACGCTGCGCTTATCTGTGGATCACTGGCGTTACTTCCTCGCTGCTGACCTTGTCGGTCGTGCTTCTGCGCGACCGCCCCGAGTCCGTGGGACTGCTGCCAGACCTCGAAACTCCTTCGACGAAAGATTGCAGGACAGACAGGCAGGCCACACCAGATCTTCCAAGCCCCGCCGCTGAGGACCGCCTCCGAGATCCGCCCGAGGCCAGGGAGGAGCCACCTGGGGCAGGGGGCGCAGGTCATGACGATTTCACGCTGGAGGAGGTCTTGCGCACCCCGCTGTTTTGGTTGATCTGGGTGCCTGCGGCAAGTTCCGGCACCACCCTCGTCACGGCCTTCGCGTGACAACGATTCGGGAAGGATTGGTTGTGTGATGGGTCTCGTCTTTGTGCTGCGGAGGGCCGTAGCATGGCACGTCCTTGAGCAGTCTCGAGACGGCCATATTATGTGATAGCTACCGCAGGTCCAGAGAGCCGTCTCGGGGTCATATGATTGAGGCCCTCTGGGGGTCTTCGGGACTTCTTGGGGCCCTCTGAGGGTGCTGGGGCGTTCTTGTGCCCTCTGAGAAGACTCTGTGGCTGCCCATACGACCTCTCGGGCCTTATTGATCTCCTCCAGACGCCTTCCGGGGCCGTCTTAGGAAGACCTTGAGCAAGCTAAAGGCCAGCCCGGAGATTTCTTCAGCCCTCCAGAGGCTGTCTTGGGCCGAAAAGTTTGGAACGCCCTGAGCCCAGGACAAACAATATTCGTTGTGATGTTGTCGGTTGTACAGGGCTTCTCTTGGGGTCTGCGTCGGGCCTCCCGTGGTGCATCTTGGCTCGTCGTCGAGGCCTTTTCTGCGCCAGAACGCCAGGGAGGTGTTGGGCGATTCAGATAGAGACCCAGAGCGCGGGGGGAATGCGTGCAACTGGATGCGTTGATGAGGGGGCGGTGGTCTTAGAGACATGTGGACACCCTGGTCATCGCGCCGCGACGGGGGTCGGAGCGCTCTCGGCGCGCGGTGGCTACCCGCGACGGGGGCCGATGTGGGGCTGTCGGCGGGGGTGACGCCCCTGCGACGTTTATTAAAAGAGCTCGGAGTACCAGCCAGCAGCTGGCATGGCACCACGCCATGTGCCGAAGGACACGCTTGCGGATTCTTTTGACCAGTATTGCTATAATTGGCTCTGGGTAGGCATGAATTTTCACATTACCGACATCTTCACAGTAGCACGTGCAACCCAAGCCGGCACCCTGAGTCCTACTACCATGACGGGTCATTTCTATCTTGCATTGTCGTTGACGAATTTACCTTCTGGATTCATAACGAGTTTCTGCCTCATAGATCGAATCAGCAGGAAGCATGCGCTATTTGCGTTTGGGTCTATTATTTCTGGTCTCATTGCAGGCGTTCTCAGTTCAGGTGCATTCAGCAGCTCTCTCTGGCGTGTTTATGCATTCGGCATCATGGTTGGTATGTGGGATGGGCTCTCCTCAGCTGCTTGGATGGTTATATTTGCGCATCCCTACGGCACCACACACCTTGGCAAAATATCAGGTTTTGCACAAAGTTTGTTGCTGGCGCTCGGGACAAGTGTGGGACCTCCTACATTCGGTTTCGTGCGTGATGCCACTGGAGACTACAAGCCTGTGCTGGGACTTATTGGAATGTGCTCACTCGTGAGCGGCTTTTCTCTTCTCCTCATGCCCAACCCTTCGAAAGTGCCACTGACTTTCGATGCCATTGGTGATGGGACATGCCAGGAATTGCAGCCTGCTGTTGTTGGTAAGAAGAGTTACGAGGTGGATCGAGGAGAAGAGGCCGCACCAGTATTGCCTACTCAGGATCGAATAAAAGTTGCGAGGCCGTGATCAGTAATGGCATACCCATCCAAACAGATGTCTGCGGACTCCCGCAGAGTTTCATCGCCATCTGGACGCGATCGTTTCGGGCTGTACGACCTCGGCAAGATGCGCTGGACTTCGCCAAGCGTCAAATCGCATTCGTCCTGCATATGGTCCGTCGACCCACTGGGATTGGAACCATACCGGAATGCCACGTTTCTCCTCCGCTATGAGGTTTAGAGCGTATTTCCGAACTTAGCCAGCGGCCAAACTTGAGTTTTGATTGAAGTTGAAAGCATTCCGCAGTTATTGTATATGTGTCATTCGGGGTCTGCCACCTCTCCTTTGTACCAAAAGGGCCACCTCTCCTTGGTACCCAAAGCGGCTTACACTTTTATTAACTTTTCACAGTTCCCAATGTTGGTACGACATTAATGCCAGACTGCACGCCCGCGTGTTCTCTCATGCCACAGTGCACCACACGAGTTTGCCAGGATCGGATCGCGTGCCGTTTCTGATTAGCACGGCGACCTATCGGAGCACGCTGGAGCGGCAGCCGTGTTCTTCGAGACTCTGTGGTCGCACGGATCGTGTCCCCTGAAAATGAGAAAGAGCGCGTTCTGTGGTCGCTTGGAGGGGGGGGGTGGAACCGGACGCCGCCCCCCCCCTGGATGGAGGGGGGGGTTCGACCCCCCCCCCCTGCTTGGAAGAGGCGGTAACCAGGAGTCAAAAAAGGTGTTCTCTGGAGTTGTTAACCCTCCGCGGGGCGAGCATCAAGGCATTCGCCATGAGAGGGGGTTAACTCCAGATTCAACCCTTCGCGCGGGCGCCGAGCGTCGTAGGGGTCCACCCTGAGGAGGGTCAACTCCAGATCAAACCCTTCTCGCGAAAGCCGAGCGTCGCAGGGGTCCACCCTGAGGGGGGTTAACTCCAGATTAAACCCTTTTCGTGGACGCCCCCGTGGTCTCCGCGTGCAACTCGCCACCTGGCAGGAAAACGATAAATGTAGAGTTAACCCTTCTCGTTTGGACACTCCGTAAGAGGCCGAGGAGGTGGAGAGCGAGGGGAGAGCGAGAGAGAGAGAGAGGGAGAGAGAGGAAGGGAGAAACAGAGAGAGGACGAGAAAGAGCGAGAGAGAGAGAGGGAGAGAGAGAGAGAGAGGAACCGAAACATAAGGACAAACGCATAGCGAGAGATAGACAGAAAGACAAAGAGAGAGAAATAATGAGAGAGAGAAAGAGAGAGAGAGAGAGAGAGAGCGACAATATACAAAGAGAGAAAGAGAAAGAGAGAGAGAGAGAGACAACAAAGAAAGATACAGATAAAGATATCATATAAACATAAAACTCGAGGAAGGGGAGGCATTCAACGCAACTGACATGCAAACCTATTTGTAGATGCAAGAGAAAAGGCGTGTATAGAGATAGAGAGAGAGAGAGAGAAAGATATTGATACAGAAAGTGATATCAAAGCATGCGTATGTGACAACAACACTGACACCAACAACACGTGAAATGAAAAGGGGAGGGAGGGATGGAGAGCGAGGGGTGCAGAGTGACCGAACCTGTCGCTTGGAAGCTCCTCGGCGGTCCAAGGACTTTACGGCCTTGAGCGTCGCGGCCTTGTTAAACAATCCGCGGCCATGCCGGGTTTTGCTGGAGATCGCGTTGGGGGTTGTTTGCGGGTCAGAGGGTGGTTCTCTCGGGTTCGTCAAAGGGGCCATCAGGTCGATTCTGGAACATCTTGGGGGCGCCTTGAGATCATATGCAGAGGTCGTGTCGGGGTCATTTTGAGGTCGCTGGAGGGTCGCATTGGGGTTATATTGGGGTCGCCTTAGGGTCCTGATATCGCTCTGGGATCGTCATGGGGTTGCTACTGTTGTCCCGGGGTAGCCTTAGGGCCAGCCACAAGGTGATCGGGTCCTCTCGCAGTTGACGATCTCATTCGGGCCGTCTCGGGGTCACCCTGTGATCGTCATGGGTGCGAAGGGCCGTCTTAGAGTCGTCGTAGTGGTCATCAGGGGGTCGTGGGATCACCGTAGTGCCATAACACCCCTCCGAACAATCAGCATTGTCATCGTCATCGGCATCAAGACCATCAAGACCATCATCATCTTCATCAGCATCAGCATTAACATCATCATGCTCACCATCATCATATGTCCTCTCCGCCTCCTCCATTGGACATCGTTCTCTTGGCGTCTTCTGGCCTCCTTGGCAGGAGGAACCAATCGACTAGTTCAATGACGAAGGAGAGAGGACATGAATCAGTTTGAATCAGTCGGGAGCATGTTGGGAATCTCTTGCGGACATCTAGAACACCTGTTCGGGGACTCTCAAGGCCTTTTAGCGTCCTTGCCAACCGACTTAGAAGGCTTATGGGCCGCTGCGATTCCATGCCGATCAAACTCATAGTCATTTGGGCCAATGTTGACCTCTCGGTGGCCAATGCGTAAAAGTGTTTACTCCAGAGTTAACCCTCCGACCGGAAATACCGTCAAAAGTGTTTACTCCAAAGTTAACCCTCTGGCAGGAGATCCCGTTAAAAGTGTTATTTCTGGAGTGAACCCCTTTGGGAGGGAAGCGCAAACTGCATGTGTGTTGTTGTTGCTGTTGAAGAGAACGCCTGCAGACCCTGGATAATGAACCGACGAAACAAGAAAGCTTGCAGCGCATGAGAAGCAATCGCCCTAGATCAGAGCTAGAGTGACGAGCCATTTGAGCCAGAAAGCCTGCAGGGCAAGAGAAACACGCACACTGAACCAGCAAGCCTGCGGAACTAAAAAACACTTCGAAAACCAGACTGGCCAGCAGAGCTGGAAAAATAAGCCTCCGGAGCCAGAAACATTGCAAAACTAGTGCAGAAGGGATTCATAGCAAGAGAGCGCTCGTATCTGAAAAACGGAGCCGACGTAACTTGAGAGCCAGCAGCCCAAAACAAAACAACCTTCGGAGCAAGAAAGCCTGAAGAGCGAGGCGAGGTGGCTTAATAGCCGGGTGGCTCAATAATCAGACAGCAGGGCGAGAGGAGGGCGGCATAACTAAAATTACAAGACCCATCCCCCTGAGCAGCCTGACGAAACGTCGTCCATAACGTGAAAGACTATGGAATTGGATTGGAAAACGAGTCGATTGCAGAGATGCCGGCGCAACTTCAGAAAGTAACCTCCGATAACAAAACGCCCGAAGGGCAAATGAAAGGATCGACTGCGGCTCCGTAAATGGCCAGCCCCAGGGCGAGAATCGAGAATGTTTCGAGCACGGGGCCCAGGAAATGAAAAGAGCATGCGCCGCGGCGATAGATACGAGGCCACATGGTCGCCAAAGGGGCGCTCCAGATGTAGAGAGGTTTAGTCCGGAGTAAACTCTTTCCAATGGTGAAGCGCTGCTGGTACAAGTTCAATGAGGTTTAATCCAGATTGAACCTTTTTTAATTCGTGATTGCACACTTTTTCCTCTCCTCGGGCCGGCGCTGCGCTTGGGTCGGCGGCGGTTGGCGACGGCGGCGGGGACGACGATTTTCATTTCTTGGCCGGCGCTGGCGACTGCGGCGGCCGGCGGCGGTGGCGGGGAGACTCGACGAGGACGACGGTGGTGGTGGTGGTGGTGGGCTGTGGTGGTGGTTCTGGTGGTGGTGGTGTGGTGGTTTGTTGTGGTGGTGGTGTGGCGGTGGGTGGTGGTGGTGGTGGTTGTGGTTTGGTGGTGGTGTGGTGGTGGTTTGCGGTGGTGGTGGTGGTGGTGTGTTGTGGTGGTGGTGGTTGTGGTGTGGTGGTAGTGTGGTGGTGGTTTGTGGTGGTGGTGGGTTGTGGTTGTGGCGGTGGTTTGTGGAGGTGGTGCTTGTGGTGGTGGTGTTGGCGGTAGTGGTGGTAGTGGTGTGGTGGTTTGTGGTGGTGGTGGTGGGTTGTGCTGCTGGTAGTGGTGGTGGTTGTGGCGGTGGTGGTGGTGTGGTAGATTGTGGTGGTGGTGGTGGGTTCTTGTGGTGGTGGTGGTGGTGGTGGTGAGTTGTGGCTGTTGTGGTGGTTTGTGGTGATGTGGTGGTGGTTTGTGGTGGTGGTGGTGGTGGGTTGTGGTGGTGGTGGCGGTGGTTTGTGGAGATTTGTTGTGGTGGTGATGGTGGTGGCGGGGTTGGTGGCGGTGGTGGTGGTGGTGTGGTGGTTTGTGGTGGTGGCGGCGGGTTGTGCTGCTGGTAGTGGTTGTGGTTGTGGCGGTGGCGGTTGTGGTGTGGTAGATTGTGGTGGTGGTAGTGGTGGTGGGTTTTTGTGGTGGTGGTGGTGGTGATGGTGAGTTACGGTGGCGGTTGTGGTGGTGGTGGCTGTTGTGGTGGTTGTGTGGTGCTGTTGGTGGTGGTTGTGGTGGAGGTGGGTTGAGGCGGTGGTGGTGGTGGTGGTAGTGATTGTAATCGTCGTTGCGTCCCCGCCGTCGCTGGCGCCAGCGCCGGCGCTGCTGGCCGCCGCCAGCGCTGGCGCCGAAGGGGGAGGGAGGGGGGGGGGTTTGAACCCCCCCCCTCCCTGGGCTGCCTCTGGTCATCCGTGGGCACTGCTGGCGGACGCCAGCGCCGGCGCCGGCCGAGTGTTGGGGGGGGGGCCCACCCCCCGGTTTGAAACGAGACGCCGAATGTTCCCAAGGCAAGCGCCCGTGAAACGCGTTCTCTCGAAAATGAGGAACAACCATTTTGATTCTTCGACGCACCATTTGCCGCTCCAGGATCGGTGGACCTTACACCCGACTCGACGCTCCAAAATCGACGCCAGAGACAGCCTGGGAAACAGCCTCGACGGCGAACAGGAGCCCAGCATTATTCCAAAGACGTCCCAACCTCGCTAGAACCATACCCGATACGCCACCAAAGAGGCAACTGTTCGATCCTAGCAACACAGTGCGAAGCGACAAGATGTAACCCACACGCATCACAGCAAAGCCGAGCCAGGCAATTCAATGCAAAGCAAAGCAACGACATGCGAGCCATGCCAAGTTCATCGCAGTAGCGTAAACTAACGCCAACGAGTGCAACGCAATGCAAAACCGTTCGCAACAAAGCAACCCATGTAACATCAAAGCAAAGCACGTCAATACAGGAGGGGGGCGCAGCAATGACCAAAAGACAATCAATGCACTTCTGGACGCAGCGACATCGGGATAGCACGTCAAATCAAACCAATGCGAGCTACCCGGCTTCCACTGCGCAAAAGGAACCAAGATCATGAAACAATGCAACCTTAAGCAATGCCAGTCCATCACATGATACATATTGCAATGTTGGGTGGTATGACGTTTGCTGGTTCAGCGTCAGCGCGTCGGCCGTCGCATAGTTTGATTGTCTCCTGTGTGTCTTCAATATAAAAGGGTATCTTAATTGGATCGCGTCGGCTTCGTCTAAACCAGACCCACTTCACCAGATCACAGATGTGGCTCCGATCTTGGTATATTTCCTTTCCTTCCTTGATGATCAGTATCATCATCATAATCGCCATCATCACCATCAGCATCATCGTCGTCATCATCATCATCATCACCCCTCGCATTGAATCGGCAAATTTTTCGCTTTCATACATTCTGCTGTTTTTTTTGTTCTCGCTCGTTCCTCGTTTCGCCTTGCCCGTCCTCGGCTCCTCCTTTGCTCCTAGTGTGTCCTTCTTCCTCCGCCTCCACTGCTGCTGCTGGTGCTGCCGCCGCCACCGCTGCCGCTGCCGTGTGGACTGATCCTGCAGCCGCCGCCGCCGCTGCAGCTGCTAAGTATCGTTGCAGGGTGAGAGGGCGTCGTGGGCAAAAAGCATTTGGGATGATGCCGATTTAGAGCGTATCCACGGGATCGCGCCCCGGCATCCAGACCGCGAGAGCGCTGATATTTTAGCGGGCGGAGAAGGGTATAACATAAGCTTTTCTACCTTCGGGGACGCCTGCCCCCCGGGCGGCAGGAAGGTTTATACCCCTGCAGTGCCACATAGGGTATAATTTTGCCAGCCGCCCTGGGGGCAGGCGTCCCCGACGGCGGAAACCATTATTTGATACCCTTCTTCGCCCCCTAAATATTGACATGTACGCCGGTCGTGAAGGGTACCCGCCGAGCCAGGTCCGCCCCTGGCACGCAGGGAGCTGACGCCAGCCCCGGCCGCTCCCAGCGTGGGCGGGGTCGACGGCCGAGGGTTGGCATGGCTCGGGTGCCTCGCCAGAGGGGGTCTGGACGTGCGCGGCGGGGGTCAGCGCTGACTGGCGTCGGCCACTGCCTTGGTACCCCCCTCGCTGACCAGCTTCAGACTGGATGCGTATGGGGCGCTCTCGACCCTCACAGTGTTTGAAACGGAACCGCTCTCTTTCCCATTCCGTTGCGCTCGTCCGTTCGCTCCCTCCTCTCCCTTCCTCTTCCTCCTCCATTCTTCCTTGTACGTAGCTTCTCCCTGTCGCACCCCGGCCGGTCGTTTCGCTTCATGCTTATTTACCATGTACGATATTGAAGTTCAAAGTTGCGTAACAGTTCTACGGATGTAGGGCGGGTCGTCTTCAAACTGAGGTTCTTGCGTTAGCGCCGCGCACATCCCTTTCAAATAAGGGCAAGAGCTTCACGGACTGAGGACAGGTCGTTTTCAACATGAGATCGCCTTAGCGCCGCTTGCATCCGTTTCCTCCTCCTCCTCCTCCGCCGCCTCCGCCTCCTCCGCCTCCTCCGCCTCCTCCTCCTCCTCCTCCTCCGCATCCACCATTCCTTCTCCTCCTCCTCCTCCTCCACCTCCTCCTCCTCCTCCTCCTCGTCGGGTGGAGGGCGGACCGTTTCCAGAGTGTGGTTCTCGCTTTGGGCTCCGCGCGCACTCGCCGCACCAAAGCGGGAAAAGAGCTCCACGGACGGAGGGCGGCTCTTTTTCCAGCGTGCGGCTCTCGCGTTGGGCGCCCCGCACAGTCGCTGTTATTATTTACAGCAGTGTCTCAGAGCCCAGAATCATCAGTCGGGGGAGAAAAGGATACGGATACGTGTTGTCCCCCTTCGTTTTCGGCCTCTCCTGGTCCTCCTGGGGAATCCTCGTTGTCACCGCTGGATTCGCCTCGAAATTCTGGTCAGAACGCACCCCAAGAGAGGTCTGGGGACAACACGTATCCGTATCTTTCCGCCCCCCAAATCAGGGGTAACTCGGGTCAGGGCTAACTCGGATTCCTTTTTCGGGATTCCGACCCCGACTTACCCCGGGCCCGAGTTACCCTGGACAACTCGGGCGTCCAGAGCCCCCGAATCATCAGGGGTAACTCGGGTCAGGGCTAATTCGGGTTCCTTTTTCGGGAATCCAAACCCGAGTTACCCCGGACCCGAGTTACCCCGGATAACTCGGGCGCCCAAGTGTCCAGCATTGTGCCATGGTCAACGTCCGAGAAATTATGTCTTGGCACCATGTCGGATTGCCATGGCGCAACAGTTGCGCTGGTTTGCTGTGATGGAAGTCCTGGGAATGGTGTTGCGACACGGTCCCAGATCGTCAAGACGTAACAGTACAGGTGATTCGCGGCGTTTGAAGTCCGAGGAATTGCATTTTTGGCTTATTTCATGATTTTCAAATGCTTGTTTTCAAACAAGGAATTAATTGCCTTCAGTGAACATGAATGTTTATAGGGGCCTATAAAAAGTGAGCTTGGAGGAAGGGTTTATTCCCCACATGCTTCGTGGGGTTCTGGTTTTCTTCCCTGCCGCGCCGCACCCGCGACACACCTCACCCTTCGTACAGCACAGCACATCACAGCACAGCACAGTACAGCACAGCTCAGCTCAGCACAGCACACAGCTCAGCTCAGCTCAGCACACAGCACAGCTCAGCACAGCTCAGCACAGCCCAGCACGGCTCAGCTCAGCACAGCACAGCTCGTGGCACTGGCGCAAAGCCTAGCAGGCGTGGCACTTTCTCGACACCACAGGGGGTGCGCAGGGGGTGGTCTCTCAGTTCGGCCGCTATCCACGACACTGGCGCAAAGCCTAGCAGGCGTGGCACTGTCTCGACACCACAGGGGGTGCGCAGGGGGTGGTCTCTCAGATCGGCCGCTATCCACGACACTGGCGCAAAGCCTAGCAGGCGTGGCACTTTCTTGACACCACACGAGGTGCGCAGGGGGTGGTCTCTCAGCTCGGCCGCTATCCACGACACTGGCGCAAAGCCTAGCAGGCGTGGCACTTTCTCGACACCACAAGGGGGTGCGCAGGGGGTGGTCTCTCAGCTCGGTCGCTATCCACGACACTGTCGCAAAGCCTGGCAGGCGTGGCACTTTCTCGACACCACAGGGGGTGCGCAGGGGGTGGTCTCTCAGCTCGGCCGCTATCCACGACACTGGCGCAAAAGCTAGCAGGCGTGGCACTTTCTCGCACCACAGGGGGTGCGCAGGGGTTGGTCTCTCCATTCGGCCGCTATCCACGCCACTGGCGCAAAGCCTAGCA